GACAGCAGATGCACGAAGGCATGAGGAGGCACTGGATTCTGAGGCCTCTTACACCCGAAGTTCCTGGGACGCTTCCCAGAGTGAGACAGAAACACATATGCCATCAGCTGCTCTGAGCTTGCTCATTTTAACTAATTTAATCCTCAGCAGCTTACTGAGGAATTGGGGGAAACTGAGGCACAAAGCCTCAGGTCACAGCTGGTAAGAGGCAGAGGAAGGAAAGGATCCCAGTGATGAGCCCAGGAGCCCATTTTGCACCAGTTTGTCTGACTCGTCTAGCCAGGGCTCAGCAGTTTTCTGCAAAGGACCAGAAGAAATAGTTGGGCTTTCTGGGCCACATGGTCTCAGTCATAGCTACTCAACTCTGCCACTGTAGTGGGAAAGCAGCAGTAGCAGCAGTATGTAAATGAATGAACGGGGCTGTGTTCTAATAAAATTTTATTTATAAAAACAGGTGGCTGCTGGATTTGGCCATGGGCCTTAGTTTGTCCGACCCTGATCTGGGTGTTGCACCCTCTTAGCCCAAGGCGGACATGAACACTGGAGCTCCCTTTCCTGAGCTTCAGCCTGCCTGGGTTTGGCTCAGCCATTGGTGGCAGAGAAGGAAAGTTTCTGTGGGATAAGAGATGGTTCCTACAATTCTGTCCCTCATTCTACCCAACAGCCTGTGTGTTCCTCAGGGGTGGGTCCACCAGCCCCCTGCTTGCTTAGGGTCCAGCCGCCTGTCCTTGGACTTTCCTCCAAATTCACCTGACTAGATGATCACCTGAAGGCACCTCGTTCAAGGCCCAGCACTCAGGAGGCACCCAGGAAATGGCAGCTCTAGTCATATTTGCGCCTTCAGGTTTGCAGAGGCCTCATCTGGCCCCGGGGATTTTGCGTCTATATAATGTGGTAGTGGAATGGAGGCTTTGGAACCCCAGCTGGGCTCTGTCATGGGGCTGTGGATACAGTCCTCTCAGCTTTGGTTTCCTTATCTGTATGTGGTCACCACAACCTCTAATTTAGTAAAAATTAAATTCAAGAATACACCCCAAGCCCAGCACCTGCTATGGACAGTGACGGCTGCTGAGCAAGTAGGCCCCCTTGCACTCTGCCTTGCCCCTGTGCCTCTATCTTTCCTCCCAAGGAGACAGAAATCACTCCAAGAATGAGAGGAAAGTGGGCTCTGGATAGGGAATGGATTCCTCCAGGCCCTGATAGAGCAGCAGGAGAAAGGAGTAGGTCGTCTGATCAATGCAGCCCTTCCTCCTCCTGGAGGGGGTGGGGTAACCTCAGGGTGTGGGGCCTTTCTCCTCCTCAAGGGGATGGGATAATGTCAGGCTATGGGGCATCTTTGAGTACATTAACCAGAGAGGATAGCTTGTGCCACCAGAATTTCTCTTTGCTGAGAGTCTGGCTGTATGTCGTTGGAGAGAACGACTGTATTAGGGTGGGACTGTCTGGAGCATCCGGGTTCATCCGCTGAGCCATGGCAGGCCTGCTGGTGGCCCATCTGAATCACTTCAGAGGGTCAAGCATGACAAAATTCACCTCAGACCCAGTGGGCAACTCTATTTCTTTCCATGAGGGATAGCTGGGTCTTGGCCTCTTTGATTAATCAAGATGGCGGCCTCCACAATGAAGTCAATGGGGTTTTGAGAAGGCTTTGGGAGAAAAATCCTCCCTACGGATGTGTGGGATCCAGACATTTCTAAAGGAGAAACAGTCTTAATAATAATCATAATAATGGTTCTAATAAGTATTAATACTGTTAGTTGGCCAATTTGGAGCCTGGTGTCCTTTCACTTACTCTTCCCAACAATACTGTGAGGCAGATTCTTTCACTGACTTCATTTTACTAGTGAGGGGCTTAGAGAGATTAAGTGATTTGCTCAAGGTCACCAAGTGGGGTGACTGATGCAATCTTGCCATCCATTATTTTAGTAACTGTGATGAAATGAAGCAGGGGTGGATGGAGCTGGACTGTGGTGGATTCCTGCTGCTTTGGCCGTCTTTCCATCCTCCATTTTCCCTTCCTCTGGTGCTCACCCTGATTTTCCTTTGAGAATCAAACCCCCTTCCTCTGCTCCCTGCTGTGCAGGGCTGGCCACATTTCTGGCTCCCAGTGTGGCCATGTTGCCCAAGCCTAACTCCATTTCTTGGTCACAGACATGGGCAGGCAACCCACGCTGAGGAGATCAGAGCCCTCACAGGGCTTGTGACACACTTGGCTGGAAAGAGGCTCTGCCTTTCTGCTGGGATTGCTGACTTGAGATGTCTTAGAACTGGCGATGCTGATGGGTATTGGCCACTGTGTGGGAACACCTTGTCTGAGAATAAAGGCACATGGAGGGAAGGATCCCAGAGATACAGTCAGAGTGCTGGGGATGTCATGGAGCTTCTAGATACAGCCTTGCCTGAAGGCAGTGCATCTCTGGACTTTTCCATATGTGAGCCAATATAGATCCTTCATTTGTTGGGCTGGTTTGAGGGTTTTTTTTGGTTTTTGTTTTTGTTTTTTGCTTTTTGGGGTTTTATTTGGTCACTTGTACCCAGAGGGTACCACCTGATACATAAGGATTTTCTCATTTTCAACCACAATTACAACCACAGACAGGTGAGGCAACTTGCCCAATGTAACACAGCCAGAAGAAAGGCAGAGCTGGGACCCAACCTCCAAAAGCGATGCTCTTTCCGTGACATCTGTATCTTCGTCTCCCTGTGCTATGCCCTTGGGGAGCAGACCTTGACATTCCCACCTCTGTTTCCCAGGGCCTCCCAAAGCAGGGGTTGGTAACAAGTGTCTGCCATCTCCACGAGGCCCACGCTGTGGGACAGCAGGCTAGCTAGCCGGCGGCGTCACCCCCGTGCGGGCTGCTTGCTGCCCACCAGTATTAAACAGGCTGGCCTCACCCGGGGAGGAGTGCCCAGCCCTGCTACATGTTGGCAAATCATGGCTTCCAACATTCCCCGCCCCAGGAGGTAACCCTCGGCTCTGCAGGCTTCCCAATTCCTATTGGAAGCAGTTGTGAGGCCTGTGTGTAAACACGGCGGGGGGCTCAGAGAGAGGGGTGCAAATGATGACTATAAGGCAGAACCCCAGTGGCGGCTGCGCCTCCTCGCAGGAGACCCGCCCGTCTCATGTATCGGGCCGGAGCGGCATCCGGTGGGCAGTGGCCAGCCTGAACCGGGAGCTGGCAGCTGCGCTAGAGCAGACAGACAGACGGACAGACGAGGGCAAACACTGGGTAAGTCCTCCCCACAACTATGCTCAGCCTGGGCGTGAGCACGGCGCCACCCTCACCTCCCTTTGCCAGCCCCTGCCCCCTCCCTGCAGGACTGCCCCCCCCATCCCTCCTCCCTCTCCCTCTTCTCTTAGATTCTGCCAAAGGTTCACCTCCCCTGCCCTCCTGCTCCGGCTGGCATTCCTCAGCAAATTTATGCTCAGAGAAGTCTGTCCTGACTCCTACCTCCTTTATGGTATGTGTCCAAAGCATTTCGAAATGTCTGTACAAATTGTTTTTTACTGGATGACTAGGGCCATACCTGTTTTTAAAAAATCCTGTCTTGTTAATCATCATATCCTTGTTTAACTGCTGTGTAGCAAGTGCTCAGTTAATGCTCACTGAATCTCCTGTACCGGAGCTCTTCCAGCCACGGACTTTGAATCCACCGCAGGGAGAGGCAGTGGTGCTTCGTGCCGGGGAGCATACGTTTTGCAGCCACATTGCTCAGGCAAGTTATTGAATCTCTGTGCCTTTGTTCCTCATCTGCAAAACGGGAGTGATAATGGTACCTACCCCACAGAGATGATATGAAGATCAGATAAGCCCTAGATAAGCTACAGGGCCTGGCACATAATAGTTGCTCCTTTATGTGTTTTTGTGATTATTATTCTAGATGCTTATTATTCTAGAGAACTACAGGGATTAATAGGGGATAGCCAGGCTTTCACTCCCGTTTTACAGATAAGAAAACCGAGGCTTAGTGAAGGGAAGGGACTAGCCTGAAATAACACAGCTAGAAAATCTCTCACACACCTTTGGGGCGCCTGGGTGGCTCAGTTGGTTTAAGTGTCCGACTCTTTTTTTTTTTTTTTAATTTTTTTTTTTTAATGTTTTATTTATTTCTAGGAGAGAGAGAGAGCGTGAGCAGGGGAGGGTCAGAGAGAGAGGGAGTCACAGACTGAAACAGGCTCCGGGCTCTGAGCTGGCAGTCAGCACAGAGCACGACGCGGGGCTCGAACCCACGAACCGCGAGATCATGACCTAAGCGAAAGTCGGACGCTTAACCGACTAAGCCACCCAGGCGCCCCATTAAGTGTCCGACTCTTAATTTCAGCTCAGGTCAGGATCTCAGGGCCATGAAAATGAGTTCTGCATTGGGTTCCATGCGGAGCATAGAGCCTGCTTGAGATTCTCTTTCTCTCTCTCTCAAAAAAAAAAAAAAAAAAAGACCACCTACTTTGTTGTAAGTTTTCAGATTGTTATTTTTAGAGAAAAATGAGATTTGGGGCCTTCTTTGTTCATTCCTCAAATATTGGTGTGGCTCACGGTTGATGCTCAAATGTGTGTGTGTTTTTTTTTTTTATATTTTTATTTATTTCTAGGAGAGAGAGAGAGAGACAGCGTGAGCAGGGGAGGGTCCGAGAGAGAGGGAGTCACAGACCGAAAGAGGCTCCAGGCTCTGAGCTGGCAGTCAGCACAGAGCCCGACGCGGGGCTCGAACCCACGAACCGCGAGATCATGACCTAAGCGAAAGTTGGACGCTTAACCGACTAAGCCACCCAGGCGCCCCTCAAATGTGTTTTTTCAATGAAGAGATGAATGAATGAATGAATGAATGCCAAGTGGCCCCTGTGGTTGAGGGAAACAGCCTGCAGTGCGGTGACCAGATCCCTGGCTTGCTTGCCCTGCCCCCTCACGTTCCTTATCTTCCATCCACCCTACTTCTATTTTCCTTTCCCTCAATAATGTGGACCCAGAAGTATAGCCCTTTCCATGCTGGTAGAAACATACCTGAGGGTTCAAGGCTCCCACTTTCCTGCGTCAGTGGAGAAGATGAGACGTTCCAGTTGGTGCTTTGGGTCCCTGACCCAGCCAGCCACCCTCCTGGGCCAGCGGCTGAGAAAGGCCAGCCCGCTGCTTCTCAGAGGGGCTGGGACCTCCCAGGTGGCTTCTCTGTGCAGCGGGCCCAAAGGCAGGGACACAGTGGCTCACTGGCACCCCGGGTGGGCCGGCTCCTTCTGGCCCTGCCCTCCTGCGAAGAAGCCTGCGAAGAAACGCTCCCTGCCCTGCTAAACAATCTTCCCCGGAAGGAGGAAATCAACCTAAGGGCTCACCGGGAGGAAATGAGTCCAAAGTCTTGCCTGGTTGAAGAGCAAGGCCTGGGCTGTGAGTGTCTCTTCCCCACAGATCTCTCCGGACCAGAGGAAGTTCGGGTGGGGTTTTGAACAGCTTAACCAGGAATGAAATATCACCATCATTGTTTGAGAAAGCAAAATAAAACACAACATGACACCACGCCCCAAAACAAACCAACCCCAGGCCGGCACCCTTTCCAGGCCCTGGGGGCGCAGAGGGGACGTCCAGGGAGTTAGTGGAGCACTGTTACCTGCTTTGAGGTTCTAGGCCAGATGGGTGCTGCTGCAGGAAGCAGGCATGGGGAGGAGACACACACTGTGGGTGGGGGAGGTAAAGGCCACTAAAGAGACTGAGCCTGGATGACAGACAAGGGGCCTCCTTGACCAGGTGCAGGGAGTGGTCTGCGGAGAAGGTTCTGGATCTGGTTTGGGGCACAAGTTACAAGTTGAAGCTAGAGGAAGGAGGGAGGGGGGAGAACAGAGAAGGGCCAACAGGTGGTAAAATTTCAGCACAACAGTGAATGCAGTCTTAATTCTCTCTCTCTCTCTCTCTCTCTCTCTCCCTGGGACTTAGTGTCCCCCACTCCCCATCTTGCACCCCAAGTCATGATCCTCATTCCCAAGAACCTTTTCCCTTAGGGTCAGTTCTTTCCCAGCAGGCACCACGTTCCATGTAGGCTCCTGGGTGTCTTCCTGTGTGCTGGCAGAGGGTGTTGCTCTAGTTGGTGATTTCCACCCTGTTTCCAGAAAGGATGTGCTGCCTTCTTGAAATGAATATCCAAGGACATGAGGTCAGATCGCTGGTCAGAAGATAAAGTCACATGTCCAGGAGCTGGCATGAAGGAAGAGCGGTGGCTGCTGGGTGAGGCGGTTCTGGGGTCTGGCAGGTCCCCGGGGAGCCAAGGTGGGGGTGGCTCTCCTGCGTCCTGACTGATTTTAGGCCTGGCCTTCTGTCTGCTCCTGCCTTCTGTCTACTCCTCTCGGGCAAGTAGTTCTGGACAGTTCTGTGCAGGACTGGTGTCTTTTCATCCTTCAGGCCTGACCTCCTGTGTGGAGGCCCCTCTGCCTTGCCTCCCAAAGTAAACTAGTGTCATTGAATTAAAATCGTAGTAAGTTCAGTGAGGAAAACCCTAACAGAGAAGAGTAAAGAGCATGAGAATGCCTTCCAGCAGGTGATGGGGTGGAACTGGGAGGCGCTGTCCTATATTCTAGGGCTCTGTGGAAGGACCAGCCACCAACGCCGTGTCTTTATCATCTTATAGTTTGCTAGGTCACAATCGGATGGGTCTCCCTGGGCTAAAATCCAGGTGTAGGTAGGACTGTGTTCCTTTCCGGAGGCTCCATGGAGATTTCATTTCTCCACCTTTTCCGGGTTCTGGAGGTGGCCTGCTTTCCTCGGCTCATGACCCTTTCCTCCAACTTCAAAGCCAGCAGTGACGCTTCTTCCTTCTCTGTCTTCTGCTTCCCTCTTCCACTCTTAAGGATCCGTGACGACGTTGGGCCCACCCAGATACTCCAGAACACTCTCCCTGTCTCAGGGTCTCCTGAGTAGCAACCTTAATTCCGTCTGCATCTTTCATTGCCTTTTGCTGGAAAGCAAGGGCACCTGTTTGCAGGGCTCTGCATTTTAGGACACAAGCATCTTCAAAGGCTGTTTATTCTGCAAATATTAGGTGCAATCCTGTTTCAGTTTCTTTATAGCACTTACAGCAGCCTGAAATGATACTTCTTTTTTCTCTTTCTTTTTATTTAAAGAGAGTATGAGTGGGGGAGAGGCAGAGAGAGAGAGAGGGACAGAGGATCCAAAGCAGCATCCATGCTGACAGCAGAGAGCCTGATGTGGGGCTTGAACTCATGGAGTGTGAGATCATGACCTGAGTCGAAGTCAGATGTGCAACCCACTGAGCCACTCAGGTGCCCCTGAGATGATATTTCTTCAATATTTGTTCCCTTGTCACCTGTCTTGCTTTCCTGGAAAGTGAATCCCTCCAGGGCTGGGACCTTGTTCGTTCTACTCACTAGAACAAGGCCTGGTGTCCAGCACATGCTCAGTAAAGGTTTGCTGAATGGATGAATGTCAGCTCATTTCTGCATTGGTGTCAATACAGACAGCCCTGGCCCAGGGGCCAGAAGCTGTGACCCCTACTCTACTCAGAGCATCTGTGTGACTCTGGGCCTTCTCTCCCCTGCTTTGGGTCTTGGACATCCTTGCAAAAGCCTTGGGGGAAAGAGAAGGCCCGGGGCAGTCTCTTCAAGGGCTTCACATCTTGGAGGAGTTAATAACCTTCATGAAATCATTCTCTCATTTTCCTTCCAATGGCAAAGCCCTCACTGAAGCATCAGCCTGAGCAGGCTGCCCAGGGGACATTCTCTCCCGTGTTCACTCCGAGAAGAGCCAGCTGGGTGTCAGCACTGGGGCTGGTTCCTGTGTGCCCCAGGGGCTCCCCCCAACCCCCGCCCCCTGCACAGTCCGCAATGCAGGTGGACAACGTGGGCTCTGGCTCACACGGGCCTGGGTGTTGCCTGACTCTGCTCCTGACCTGCTGGGTCCCCTGTGCAGGTGCCCTTCCATTTTCAAGCCTTGGTTTCCTCTTCTATGAGGTGGAATAGTTCTTATGTCACAGAGTAGTTATGAGACTTTGTTTGAAGGATGTGGCCCATAGTGGATCCTCAGTAAACTCCGTGATTATAATGACTTCTTATTAGTGTAATATCAGCTGTGACTTGCACTTTGCTGAAAGAGCCAGGATGCCTTCTCTCTCTGTCAGATGACGACACAGGAGGGCTGGGCGTCAGTGTCAAAGTCTGGATTCAGGCCTTGGTAAGGGAGCTTAAACGTACAATTACTGGGGTGTGACAGTTGATTCATTTCTTTGGGGAGCGTTGGTGCTGAAGGCTGACCCCAGTGACCAGGAGGGAATGGTCCGCATCCCTCCCACTGCTGACGGGTGGGCCCTGGCTCCGGGGCCAGCATGTGTTCAGGGGAGCAGCTATAACACCACAGCTTATTTTTTTTTATCTAATTGTAAAAATAGTATAGTCCCATCATGGAAATTTTGGAAAACACCGAACAGTGTAAAGGAAAAAATATCAGGCAAATATAACCTCTCTTGGGAACGATGTTAATATTTTGCCTCCTTTCCTGCCCTTGATTGTTGAATGGAACCCTTCCTGTCCATCCGATTTTGTGCCCTTCTTCTTCCCTTAGCATTACAGCTGAGGTATTTCCCACATCACTGAAAACCCGTACGTGGATTTCTTAATGACTATCGCATGTTACAAAGTGCTACCTTCATTTACCCGCCTCAGCTGCTGGGCGTTTGATCATTTCTGTGTGTGTGTGTGTGTGTGTGTGTATGATAAATACACTGCAATGAATTTTTACAGGTGTATCTTGTGACCTTTGCACACCTTTATTTCCTTTTTTTTTTTTTTTTTTAAACAGGGGAACAATAATTCCAGCCTTCCTTTCCCATGAGGTTTTATGAGGCAAAAAGGAGAACACGGATATGAAGGGGTTTTCAAAACCGTGGGGGAAAGAGCTGTCCAGATAGAAGCCTGGATTTTGAGCACTGCCTCTTCAAGCACTGTGTCTTCAAGGTGTGTGCATGGGTGCATGAGTGTCCCTAAAAAGTAGGAGGATTAGACGAGTGTGGGTCTGGGGATAATAGCCGCAGAATCAGCATTTATGGGAAATTTCCTACCTGCACGGCACTCCATTAAACAAGGTCCACGCATATCTGAATCATCCTGAAACAACCCTCCAAGGGAAGTCCTATTATTATCTACAGTTTATGACTGAGGAACCCAAGGCATAGAAAGGTGAAATGGTTTGCCCCGACAACACAGCTAGTGAGTGGGAAATTGGGGAGCAACACGCTGCCCACCCACCAGCACCCCCAAGAGCTGCAGCGGCTGCAGAACACGCAGGACCCCCCAGCGCTTCCTGAAATATGGCGCTTTTTAAAAATGGAGCATAGCCCCGCGTTCCTGGCAGGCAGAGAAACTAATCTGAAGATTATTTCCCCAGAGCTGGGGTCGTTTCTGAATTAGAATGTTTCGTTCAGAGAGGAAAAGCCCAGAGGAGCAGAGCCCACCCCCGGCACGGGATAAAGTGGCAGAGCTGTGTCCGGGCTGTGTATCTAAGTGTGGGTCCGCATTGTGTAAGTGTGTGTGTGTTTTGGGTACTGAGAAGCATGCGTGCATGTGTGCACAGGGGTATGCAGATGTGTGTGTTTGTGTAGGCTGTATTTAGCCTTCTGGGTGCCCAAAGACAAAAGAGTTGGTTTACTAATGAAGTAAATGTTCACCACACTGATTTTTCTAGTTCTAATCTTTGAGAAGAAACTGGACCAGGACATAGGCAGGGATTTCTGTGTGTTCCCTTCAGCATCAAATCACCAGCATGTTTTCGCAGCAACCACAGGGCCTTGATAACAAAAGGAAGCCAGGTGTGTGTCGAAGCCAAGGGGAAAAGGCAGAGACGTTACTATGCCAAGTGGCGCCGCCAGAAACTACGAATAATTTACAGTTTTCTTCAGCCTCGTTAATTGACCAAATCCGATGTGGCCACGTGTGCCTTGTGCCTTGATCTGCTATGTAATAAAATCAGTGCCTTGGCATGAGAGGCACAGCTGAGGACAGAATACTAATCGAGTTAGAGATTCTGTTTGCAAGCATTAATAATTCCTTCCTTCATTCATTTCTTTTAGGGCTGCCGCCGTTCCTTTGAACAACAGCAACGGCGACAGAGAACGGTGGGCGCCAGGACTGGTGCGGGCTGCTGGCATAGAAGCTCGTGGGCTCGGAGCCCCGGGCCAGGCAGCCTGGCCAGACTGCACCGCTCAGGTCTGTGGCTCTGTGTCAGGGAGAGGGGACAGCAGGATCAGGTTAGAAGTCTGACGTGGCTCTAGATCAGGGGGTCACAGAGCGGGAGCCCGTT